AATGGTTTGGCCTGAAGGCAAAGTAATTGCTGAAGATATGTATAACCATATAAGAAAACTACCTTTGTTTACGTATCCTCAATTTTCAGCTTACATCACTAACATAGATATTATTGAGCAGTTTATGGCTATGTTTATGGAAAACGATAAATGCGTCTTAAATGTATTTCCATGTGTAGCTTCTTCATTAAGGTAAATAATTTTTTATGATACATGGTTTTATATTCTCTTTTCCAAAAATATTAATAATTAAATAATAATTTGTGTTCATAGTCCACGAATATCGACCAGAGGAGCTGGGAAAGGAGTAAAAGAAGAATTTCGGTTAGCATTGAAAAAACAAGTAACACGGTGGTCAGAACCCATTGATGAAACTATGCTATTATTCTTTAAGAATGAACGAGAAAGTTTAATGAAGACAGCTACTCTTATGGAAAAATCATTAACATTTTAAGTAAGTATTGCTTTCTAATTTCTGTAATATCAAATTTGTACTTTTGGGTTATATATCATTTACAATATAATGATTTTTATTTTTTTATCTGATAATAAAATTATTACACATTTTTTTAAAGTTATCTTAAACTCTTAAGCATCTTTAATTCATTAAGTGAAACTTCTTAAATTCAGCAGTTATAAATTATGAAAATAGATTTTGTATCATACTTCAATATAATATAAATAATTAATATAATTATTAATTTTATTAAAATCAAAGAATTTTTAAAATTTTACCTATAAAAAAATACATTTTATTATATCTTCAACTGTTTATGAATTAATTTGTCTTTACTGTAAAAAAACTATTTTCACCATAATCATTAATTATGACAAGTTGTATGATTAATTTTTTTGCTAATATTTACAGTACCTATATGACTACATGTACTTATTATTACATTAATAAATTAATGTATTTAAATGATTTCCAAAAATAAAAAGCTGAGAATGTGAGTACCATTTGACTGTACATAATGTGTCGAGTAGATTACTTTAATGAATATGTTAAATTTTAATTGAATGATATATAATTATATATGAAAAACGATTCTGAGCTAAGACAGCAGTCAGCTTATATCACTAAGCATATTTCATGATATGTTTTGTAATATTGCTATTAAAGTAATTTATTTTACTACTAGTAATACAGTAGGTTGAATTTATTTTTGGCGAAAACTTTACATTTGAAAAAATCATTGTGTGTATAAAATATAATATAATCTATAGGAAGATACCTGATTTCCTAATAGGCCAATCCACTCTTGGATCTACTACATGTTTTTATGTTTAACTAAAATATGAATCTTTACATAAATGTTAGAAATAATAATATATTTATAATGAACAAAATAAATAAATATCTTTGTAATAAATTATTAAAATTAATTTATTGATTTTAATTTCTAATAATCAATTTCGACCTTATGTTACCTATATATGTGTTAATTCATATAAGGAAATTATTGTGTGTATGGAAAAATCAAATTATTAACTAAGAGATTGTCACGAGTAAGGTTAAGAATCACTGTTTTATACTATTCCTACGTCCCCATTACTCTCAAACATCTAATTTTAAAATGTAATTAATTTTAATTTCGTACTTTTTTTGTTGGTTATTGAATTAAAAATATAAATTATTTTAATCTATTTATTTAAAATTAAGATTGCAACAAAACAGCAGTACTAAATATTAATTTAAATACCTACAGGAGTATAACATATATGTAAAAGTAAATAAGATATTTAAAATTTAAATATAATAAAGACATTGTTTTAATAATCAAATAACAATTCTCATATTAAAATTGATAGTAAAATTCAGTTCTTGAAACTATATTACAATATTCAGTTCTTGAAATTGTATTACAAAAATTCAGTATTGTAATAATAAAAATAATAATAAGTAAAAAGGTTATTAAATTGTACCGATAAAGTATAATTTTGTTGTCATTAATTTTAAAAACTTTCTAAACAATCTAAATTTAATTAATTATACTTAATTGGAATAAATCGGCTGGTGAAATATTAATAACCATAAACATGATGTTTGAAAATGTTTGTAAGTTTGTTAGATTTGTTGATTTACAATATCTGTTAACATACAAATAATGACATCATACAATCAATTATTAGTATTGAATTTTTTAATTATACTAATTTCACTTACTCTCCTAAAGGTACTAATGTTGTATTACTGTAGAAATCGTAAAACTTTATCCAATGCATACATTCATCTTGATTTGTTTCATTTAATATTGTAATTGTTGCGTTCAATTGTAATTGTGTTCCCGGTGAGCCTTCTATTAAAAAAGTGCAATCGTCTAAAAATTAAATAGATTATTTTTATATTGTACATTGTAATAAGTCATTTATAATACTTACTATGATAATTCCCAGTTACTTTTGAATCATAGTCTAACACATAATTCCCTGAAGATATTGTATATGTTGAATGACAAGGAGTTAATTGTATATGACTTTCTGGCCATTTGAAATTTAACTGAGTACTATTGCTATACAAGTTAAAAAATATAAAAAATATTTGTACAAAATGTATTTTTTTATATAAGAATATCATTTTTGTATTAATCACAAACTAAAATAAGTAATAATAAATGTTAAGCTTTTAGTTTTAGTGTACAATTAAATAGTGAAAGTTAAATAATTTAATATTTATAACAACAACCCATATGAAAAAAGAATAACTTATATGGGCAGTATATTCTATAGAAAATATGATGAGGGTCAATTAACATACTTAAATAATCTATGTAAAATGTATTTGTGTTTAATTACACACTTTTTTTATTTTATTACTGTTTTTATTTTGTCTACGTATTTTTTTTATATTATCTAATTTGATATAAAATTGTATTTTTCACAAGATCTTGAATTTAAATGCTTATTTTTATAAGTTATAATTTATTATGTCTTTTTACTTTTTATAAAATTAAAATTTGTCAATACATCTTGTTTACTTAGCGTTATATCTTTAAACATTAGCCCAATGTTTCTTAAAAGATTGTATTATAACAATGTTAATGGTATGCTGTAATAATAAAAAATAAAAATAGTATAAAATATTACTTGAGATACAACTGTTTAAAAAATAATGAAAGTAATTTAAAAATACTTGTACAAATTTCCTTTAAGAACTGGTCATACTCATTTGGAATTTAGGGTAATACAAAATCATCTGAACTTTGTATTATACAAGCATTCTACATAGTTAAATAATCTTTTCATATAATAAATACTATATGTACCAAATTCTATACTTTAAATACATTTTATAATTGAAAACTGTTTACATTATTAAATATTTTACTTAAAATTACAACCTTGTACTTATCTATCAATATTACAAAATATATCATCAAACATATAACTGTCATCATAAGTATGTATATGGAGAAGTCAAGAAAGATAGCTGTTTTCCTAATGAGAATTCCCGCCCACAAGATTTTTAATATTATTTTTAAGTATTTAATATTTCTTAAAAAATATTTTCAATATACTTTAAGCAAACAAAATACTAGAATAATATTGTGCTATTACATATAATTTTACATTTTCTAATGATAGACAGCTTCAGCAATGGTTATTGATTGTTCTGTGAAAATAATGGCGCAATAGTATCAAATATATGTCAACCTCCAACAAGTTGAACACTCCAACATGATAATGCAATTTAATTGTTATTATGGTTTTTTTTTTTTTTTTAAACCTAGTTGCATGAGTCATTTATAGTTTGATAAAACCACATTTATCATTTTGTGTAAGAATTAATTTTAAAGACCATTGTCTTATTTCATAACCATAACTGAATAAAAATTGCAGGTGGAGTCTAGATTCCTTAAGTCCCAAACTATTGCCTCCTCTGTTAATAGAATCTACACACTCGAGACTGACATAACTTTTAAATTCTCCATGCAGACTAAAAATAAAATATACCAACTAAACTAAAATAAAAAAACACATGTTGGTTCTATAATTGGATGGTATTTATTCATTTATATTATTATACATTGAAGTGTTGAATACGTAAATATTTTAAAATATACAATTTTAAAATTATGACTGTTTTAATATGTATATATTGTTATGTATGTTTATATTTAGTGTAATGTCTGTTTAGTGTGTAGCTTATTTTTTTATCTAGATTTAAGAGTATTTGCGATGGAGAAGTACAAAATATCCCATAAATTTAATTGCTGATAATGATGTATTATAGGGAAAGCACTTTTGGAAAATAATGCTATAAACCAAATTTATGTAATTGCCAGTTTGTTGATTTCACTATTTTAGTTTTGAAGTCCCTATTATTTATATAATACATTTAAATTGAGTTACAACTTACAATTACTGATTAAGATAATATTATCATAAAAACCCCTCATAAATCTTAATTTGTTCATAAAAAAATTAAAGTATATAATATTTTTGTTAATTTCTTTTAGTTGAAAAAATTAATAGGACTTTGGCTAAATTATCAATGCTATATTTATTATGTGCATAATATGTATTAATCTAAAAATGTATTTATCATAACAATTTTTTTAAATAATTATACCTCCTAATTTATGCATATCAACTATTAAAATATATTTTATATTCGATATTAGACAATTAAAAAAAAAAAAAAAAACCACTTGTTATTAGGACTTATTTTATAACTTGATCTATAAATAATATACATAAGTAAAGATTTTATTTTTTGGCGCGTTTAAATTTTTAAAATAAAACTATCAATTTGACAATGTCAAATAAATATTATATTGAATTTTACAAATTACATGATCAGTGATAATAAATAAATTATTTCCTTTAAATGGATATTTTTTTTACTAAATCAAAAAACAAAATAATATTCTGTTATAAATACTTATTTATTGTACATTTTAGTATTTTACATGATATATTGTAAATTTATATATCATTATAATTATTTAATATAAAATAAAGTTTTAGAAAAGCTATTTTTATCATATATAGTTTGTTTACATGTTAATATTTAAAGATTGATATGTGTACACACTTAATGAAAAATTAATTATTTGGTCTGCTTTTATTAAAAGTATTGCAATGTTTGATTCGGCCAATGTTAAACCGGGAACATCAGGTGATCCACAGACACTGAAACATAATAATTAAATCAAATACAAATATAGCTATTAATATTATGAATGAAACCTTACTCTTGGATAAGATTCAAATTTCCATTTTTGACTCTAAATAATTTGATGCTTTGATTCATTATACTGTTGTTTAAGTCTGTCAATCCTTGTTCTATTGCTATGGCTAAACTTGAGTTCTCAATGCTGTTTAACAATATTGAACAAAAACCTGCTGGTGTTGATCCATTGATTAAAGGTATTTCTACATTATAATGTTTGTTTCTGTAAGTGTTTAAAGAAACAACGCATGATCCCCGTGACATTCTTAATGTTTGAAACCTTTCAGGATATGTACCCAAGTAAAAACTAGGCACCCATTGACTATTATATGTTAAACATTCACCAATTATAAATAGAAAACACATTAAAGTGTAGACCAACATTGTTGTAAGACTGTGAAATGGTAACTGACAACTATATTCCATACAGTGATAGTTCCGGTCTAATGTATCATATCTATTTGTGAAATATTTTTTGGGCGGGGCGTAGTTGAAGAGTTGTGTATTGAAACTGAAAACAACGATTACTACACATTTTAAAATGTTGATTACATGCCACAGTACCCTTATACATTGATAAATAAGTGTTATATATTATATGTAATATATTCATAATATTCAAAATAATAAATGACAATGTGTTATAAAATTAAGTAGACAGACTAAAAGTGCATAACAATGTAATTTAGAAGTTTGTACTAGATATAATATTTATTAGCTATTGTTATTCCCTTTTGAAGTGAATACAATTATTTAGAGTTTACTATGTCTGCCAATGAATCTGCATATAAATCTAGTCTTCGAGTCATCTAAAAAAAATAAAATATTTAAAAAATTCTTATTCCAAAAAATAGTTAGAAAATAATTTTATTACTTGGAAACCCCAATGATCCTTTACTTGTCTACAAAGATTCAAATCTATTTCTGATATTAACAATCCATCGCGAGTCCTAGAAAGACCCTAAAAAGTATAATATAGTATATTATATCATATAAAATCTAAAATAAAATATATTTTTGTTATTAAAAAAAATACTTGAGAATGATAAATGAGAAATTTCATCTATTTCATAGTTAATAAATAAATTTTATATAGGTACAAGCTGTATAATAAATTTTCTTTCTTTTTTTATCATTTCAATATGTTATTGTAAAATAAATAATAAAATATCTTACAGGCGTTCTTGAACCATCAGGAGCAGTAATATAGCTCGAACCATAAAAATGGCCAAAATTTTTATGCGCTGGTTTACCATCACCACTAGTGAACTCTGATGGGAAGGTTTCTGTACCCACTCTGTTGATGGCACAAGAAAAATAACTATTGGCAACTGCAGCTGTTCTGGCTTCAATTCCCCAAAGTGTCTCACTGCATGTAACATTATATTAATTATAATAAATTTGAATTTTTTTTTTTATTAAAAGTATTTTATTCATTTTTACCTTAAACCATCAATTGTAGCTGATGGGTTAAAAACAATTTCAGCTCCATTCAATCCAAACATCAACCAATTCAGTGGGTGATGGCGCCCATAACAAATATTGATTGCAATTCGACCAAACGCTGTCTAAATTAATCTACTATTGGCGGTTTTTGTTGTTTGTATTTTCTAGAATAATTTTAGAAATTATATACCTCAAAAACAGGATGTCCCGTGTTTCCTTCCATGTAGTAAGTAGACTCGTTAAAATCACCCACTCGGGGTATATGGTTCTTTCTATGCTTTCCGATTACTTTGCCAAAGTTATCTATGACGACAGCTGTATTCCATATCACTTCTTGTTCATCACGTTCCAGAATTGGTGATACAATAACCATGTTGTACTGTTTACATATCTATTAAACAAAATTTATTTGATTTTAAATATAAAAAAAAGACTGAATGTTATGCAACACATACATCTTTTAGAAACATAGTTGTAGGCCCTGTTTCAGCTGATTCAGCAAACTGGCACCATGGAAATTTTTCTCTTGTACAAAACACAAAAGGCATTGCTGAAAAATATATATTACATTTAAAAAAATATAAATTGTATGTTTTTGTTAAGGTTATCTTACGCCAGGCTTCTTGAAGGCATAACACATTTACGTTAGCCTCAGCAGCAAGTGATATTATTTTGCTAATCCTTTGATAAATTGCATTACGTTGTTCGGCTAAAGGAGCTGTTGTTGGAAGAACAATTTGATTTTGAATAACTCCAATTCTTACAATCCTTATAACATTAATATTTTCTTCAAATTATTTACTTTACTAACATGACATTTTAAGTTCAGAGCTAAGCAATAAATGTATTAATTCTATAAATTATGAAGTTTTTATTTATTCATTTTTTTATTTGTTATCATGTTTTAAAACAGTAAAAAATAAAAATGCTTTAATGTTCAGCCTCACTTTATTAGTTAAAAGTAAATCTAGTAAATAGTTGGACTTATTATTATTGAGGGGGTCAAAAGTAAAAAAAAAAATAGATAATACTGTTATTTTCAATGATTAAGAAAACAAGAATTTTTATGTGAAATCAATTTTTGATAAAATCATTTTTCTTATTTTGTTGTCATTCAAACAAATAACAGTAGACATTTTCACCAATTATTTATACTAGAATAATTCACATGTGGTAAAATTTAAAATTATTTTTGATTCATTTATAGACCATAAATATTGATAAAAAATTGAAGCTTTGTTCAAAAGCTTGATAATTTAATGCAAGATTCGTCATAAGAAGAGTTTTTTGTGAAGGCTTGAAAATTTTACTAACATTATTATATATTATTTCTGTCTAACTAACGCATACCATACAAAAATATAGGTTCAACAATTCCAATTTTGAGTATTTAACTTAAATATTATTTGTGTTCTCTCTTCAGCTTTTATGATACCTTAATTTTTAAATGGATAATGAGCATTTTTAAATATTAATATTTTGGATAATCATACTCATTTAAAAACTAAAACATCGTAAAAAACCAATGAAAGAACATAATGCTCTTATCATTAGATTTAATAAAGTTATTACACTCTAATATTTAAACTAAACATACAAAATTGGAACTGTTAAAATATATATTTTACTATTTTAGTATGGTATACGTTAGAAACATACATAGTAATATGGATTGATATTATTGGTTTATGCTCGGAATCTTTTTCATAAACAATGAAATATTATTGGATTCAAATCACATCCATTATAGTATGGGAATTCAATAGTGTCATAGCGACTTACTAACAATGAGGTATACTCAACATCTACTATACAGTAGTGCTACATACTTGTTCATATTTTGTATTTTATCATTTTTAAAAACATAATTAAAATATAGGTAGTCAATAAAATAATATTTATTATACCGTTTTTCTCTTAACTCTTCAGTTAAACTATCAAATTTGTAGCCTTTAACTTCCACATCATCTTTATTATTAATACAGGATTCTGGTAGCTGAAGTTCTCTGAAAAATATAAATTTTAAACTTTTAAAGTTAAAATCAAGCTATTATTAAAGTAATGTAGATCAAACTATACCATACATTAATTAATATTAGTATAAAACTATGAAACAATTTTAGTTGTGTATAAATTGAATATATTTCTATCTTAAAAATCAAGTTTATATTCTTGTTTTTGTTGTTTATTTTTCATTAATTACTATGATAATAAACATTCTGTAGATTTAATTATCAAATTATTATTTCTTATTCTATTTCACAGAGCATAAAATAAAATAAACTCACTCTAATTTTTTTCCATATAGAATCCTTTGCACATGACTTAATTCTTCCTGTGGAATATATTTCTCCAAACAAGTCTCAAGATTTTGAAACATTTTTAAACGTAGTGAGCAGACAAAATATCTAGAGAATATCTCAGTGGTAACGCCTTGGGTAATCAATCTTGTTATAATAATAAAATAATAAAAATGTTTATACATCCATTAATTTAGCATACCAAATCATGTAAGTGTTCTATAATTGTGTTTTTTTTCCATCAACACTTACGTTTATAAGCCAGTTGGAAGGTGAATATAAGCATATAATGAACAGTAATTAAATATTTAAACTTCGACCTGATGTTTTATAAGACGATTATTAAATGTTTAAACTTTTTCGTTTGCACACTTCATAGTTAAAGTTGATATAATTTATATCTTCGTAATATTTATTATTACTCCACCCAAATTAATTTAAAACAACAACCTGATAAGCGATTTACGAACATGGTCTTAGAAGACCGTGTTTACGAATTTAGAATATAGATAAAAAAAAAAATGTATACGAGCACGTGATTACCGTTTTTAAATGATTATCAATTTATCATATTATAAGACATAATCACAGAGTAGATTCACTTCACAGGGTACTTTATTTTTAATAGTGGTTTTCTTATATTAGTATAAGAGCTAAATCCTCTAATAAATAATAATAAGCTATGTAAATATATGTTATAATTATTTATAGTTAGTATTTTAGTAGTCGGAATAGCACCGATTCAAGATTTCAAAGCTCGAAAGTCATGAATTAAATAATCGTTTACAAATTGTTGTAAAACCCCATAACATTTAAGTAAGTAATTTTGATTGTATCGGTATTAAGGAAAAATATTATTGAGATAAAAAAATAAATAATTTATCGGGGTATTATCCATGTCTACTTGAGTACCTAGTGGATATTATGATAAAGTGTATTTTTATTTGTTTAAAAAAAAAAAAAAGAAAAACTGAAGAATACAGCATTATATAAAAGTTCATATCACTCGTTCATAAAAACAAAAGTTGGAATTCTGACATAAATTATTGTCCAATCTCAAAATCTTAATTATACCCAAAATATTTTTTAAACTTATAAATTAAAAATTAATGCCTTTTTATGAAAATCATAATTATTAATGAACAAAATGATTTTCAATCAGGTCATTTTACAATTACAAATTAAACTATTTTCCAAAAGTCAATTATAGATCCATTTAAAGACAAAGCCCAAACTAATTTTATTTATACAAATCTTGAAAAGGCTTTAAACAGAGTTAATCATATACTGCTAATTTTGAAACTGAAAGCCTATGGATTTTATAATCCTTCACTTTCTTGGTTTAAATCCTTTTCACAATGGTATTTAATTTGTTAAATATGAAAAATATTAAATATCACATAATATTGGTGTTGCATTGGGTATCCCTAAATGAGGCCATTTATCACCATTGTTATTATTACTTTTTATTGATATCATCCCCAATAAATTCAATTATTCTAATTTTTTGTTATTAGTAGATAATCTCAAAATATTTGTCAAAATAATATTTTATTTCTTCAAAGTTGGTATAAATAAATTTCAAAAATGATAAATCTATAAATGTAGAAAAATGTGCTATTATTATTATTTTTTTTTTAAAGTTACATTCATTTTTAATTTTATCTTTAAAAATATTAAAATATCTTAGGTAAATTCAAGTTAAGATCTAGGTTTTACTTTTAATTCAAAACTCAATTTTAAACTTCATACCAACAACATTATTAACAAAATATTTGCTAGTCTAGAATTATTAAAAATAAATATAATAAAAATATTTATTAAAACATGTATGTAAAGACTTCCATTATTTACATTATTGTATTTTTCCTTGTATGCGCTCTCAATTAAAATATTTAAATGTAATATAGTATACTGACTATAATTCAAAATCAAAATCTCTCTCAAGTACAAAATATTTTTCTAAGATTTTTGTGTTTCCGATGTCAAATAAACTACAGAGTTCTTCATTCAGATTAAGTTATTGTTAATAGATTTTTCTTTATCACACCTTTGAATAAATATTTGAATTATTAAACATAAAATTATACAAATTATTAATTAATATTTTGATTGCTCAGAATTAATTGAACGATTTAGGTTCAAAATAATTTCTCATAACTCTATCTAAACTTCTACGCTATATACCAAATACATGTTATTTTCTCCTTCTAACATGTCTTAAAAAAATTCTATAAATGAAGATAACTCACTTAGAGATTTGTCTATGTATATTTATTACCTTTAATATTTTTATTTATTATTTTATTGTATTATATTATATTTGTATACACGCACTTTAATTTATTTTAAATAATCATGGTTAATATGTAATTGTCTTACATATTTAATATGTAAATGTAATTTTTTTTCTGTATTAAGCAATATTATTTCACAAAAATACTTATTTGTAATATACTACAGTGTATTTAAATTAAACATTGTTAAAAATACCTAATTATAACAATAATAATAGTTGAGTAAATAATTTTTTAGTATTTAATTATTTACACAAATGGTTTATTTTTTTATCTTCCAGTATGGCCAGTGATATTCCTAATGATTCGAATCAATTATTCGAAAATATGCAATCAATTAATAATAATAATAATAATAACAGAAGCCTTAGAGGATTATTTTTAGTGGGATTAACTGGTATGTATGCATATTTTTCTCTTGAGTACCTACAATGTTAGTGTTTCTTGATTTTTTTGTCAGTATTATAGGGTACCTATTTAAATCCTTTAAGCTTATATTTTGAAAAAACTTATACAAGTATTAATTATCAAACAATATTATAATTTAGATTATTGTTATTGGTATTTTAGGTGGTATTTCTATTGCCCTAAGCATAATTTGTTATCCGTTCATATCACCAGCTTTGCGGAAAGTATGTTTACCATATGTCCCAGCAACTAACTTACAAATCCAAAATGTTTTGAATGTAATCAAAGGACGAAAAGGGAAATTAATAGACCTAGGCAGTGGTGATGGAAGAATAGTATGGAATATTAAATATTTTTTAAACATTTATAGTTTTGTATACTTTTGTTTAATTATATCTATGTATTTTAACTTTTTAAAATAACTCCTTACATAGGTTATGAACACAGCAAAAGCAGGATTTGAATCAGTTGGTGTAGAGTTGAATTTTTGGTTAGTACTATATTCACGTTTGGTTGCAATGAAATCTAAAATTCAGCCTTCTCCAAAATTTATTCAAACAGATTTGTGGAAATATCATTTAGGACCTTTTACAAATGTTGTAATATTTGGTGTTGAAGAAATGGTTAGTATTAATTTAATATTTTTTATGAATATATGAAATATATATTCATACAAATAAATAATTACATTTAAAAATTGAGTAACTTTGATAAATTAAACTTGTCCATACTAGTGTAATTACATACTCAAGAGTTAAATATTAAGATAATTTATCAAACTTCAAGTTTTATAATTGAATTATACGTATATATAATTTATACTTAATTGTCTTAATAATATTACAATTAAAAAAATCAAAAATACATTTTTTTTTAGATGTTGGATCTGGAAAAAAAGTTTACTGCAGAATTATCTGAGGGAACAGTAATAGTCGCTTGTCGCTTTCCTCTCCCAAACTTAGAACCTTATTTAGTCATTGGTACAGGCATTGACAGAGTTTGGGCTTATAAAATATCTAAACCCAAATCATAATCTGTCAAAATATGTTTTTATATGTAATCATATTATTTATTATAGTATATTATTATATAGCTGACAAATGAATGTAACTTTATTTTTGTATAGTTAAATAAAAAATAAAATTTATGATTTGTGAACATTTCAGAACAAAAATAGTTATTGGATTTTTAATTACATTTTAAAAATGGATAAATTAATTCAACCACGAATCAATAACAACACTGTTTTTAAAATTTTAAATGGAATAATAATAATTTAATATAAAAATATATAATTTTATAATATTTAGTTTCTTCAGTTTTTTTACCTTTATAACTGAAACAGTAGGAGATTGAGTCTTAGGTTTAGATAACTCAGAATATTTATTAAAAATATTTTTAACTTTCTTTACTTATTATAATGAAAATAAATTATTAATTGATTGATATGTATTCTGTTAAATGTTATTATAAATATTTCACTAATAATTTATACTCAAAATTATGAATATAGTAGATATTAATGTAATTAACAGGTGCCTATTGGTTAATGATACATGTAATTAATATATATTATTTAAGCATAAAATTATCCTACAACTAAATATTTTAAATTAAATAAAAATAGGATCAAATCATTGTGTTCTTATTTTTTTTATTGTATAACAAGTTAATTAATAATAGCTTAAATAAATAACTTAAGTTAAAAAATACACGCAATTAAATGTCAATGGATATAACACTCTTATCGTCTTATTGTTAGAGATCACAGTAAAAAAAAAAAAAAAAAATGACTTTTGATGAAAAATTAAACACTATAAATTGAATATAGTAATGTCAATAATAATTTACAATTTTTACTATAGTTATTCTTTAAACAAAAAATTGGGCAATTAAATTAGCTAGTCCAATTAATGATATTGAAATGTGAAAAATGACTGATCCAAATGTTAAAAGATTGCGTCTTCTCTGTGATGATAAATGTAGCATGGTTGGTAATGTATATATGTATACAAATCCACAAATTGCTCCACTAAATCTAAGGAAAATATAGTAATTTATTTTTATGTACAGATTTAATTAAGAAGACAGTTACATAAACATAAAAATTTTCTAACCGTATTACTGTTCCTATATGTGGCATGAAAATTGCAAACAATATGCATATGAAAATTACAAAACAATTAAGTGCAATAACATGTAGAACACTAGGGTATATTGATAATTCAAGGGCTGCGAACACTTGTACTCGTAGCATGTATGATATCAAAGGGTAGACAGTCAATAATTGAAAGAATAGAAAAACTCTAGCAATAATACTAAAGACATCTGTTCTAGGAAAGTTGTTTAAAAAGTTCTGAAAAAAATAAAATTATATTAAAATAATTCACAGTATGTATTAAAGTGTATTAATAATGTTTTCCTCATCTTTTAGGTACCATAACTTATTTAGTCATTAATGCATCTGTAACTGATTTAATTATATAAACATTAGTAAAACTAAGTCACAGAAGAAATGGTTTTTAAGACTGTACTAGATTTTAATATTGTATGCAGCCTTGGTTGTTAATGAATTAATTTAAAAATTTGTTCAAGTCAAGATAATTAATTTTTAAATTTAGACTTAAATTAATGGTTGTTATATTTTAATAACATAGTATTCAAAATTATTTATTTATGTTTGTCTTTGAAAATTGCTAGTAGTTAGTAGTTAATAAAATTTACTGTATCTACTGACTACTAGTATCATTTAACATTAATATTAAGTCTAAGAGGACGTGAAATAAGTTTTATGTCTATCTTATAAACGTTCAGATGTGAAATATAGTAAATTTGCTTTCAGTAAAACCAATTTTGTGGTTTTAGCTATAATACTAAAATGAATTAATCTACAATGAAGGTAGGCATATGAATATTATTTGTGTTAGTACCTAAATTATTTACAACATTCCACAAAATGTTATGCAAACAACCAATTTTTAAAATATTGAAATGTAAAAATATTCACAACACTTAAAAATAAAATTAAAATATCGCACAAAAACAGATTAATTTACTCAAATAATATTAATGCTAACAATACGAAAATTTTTCTGCTGACGCAAATTTAATATTTAATATTGTAATTTGATTTGTTAAGACTGATATAAATGACAACATATACAGGTATGAAGTCCACTTAATAACATACAGTAATATAGATTAGGTTGGTTAATAATTAATGAGCTATGTTTGATTTGTAGAATTGAATCTGCTTATGTTACAATGTTACAAAAATATTCAACTATAGGAATGCCAATTTCTACTATTAAGAATTTAGAGATGAACTTAAAATAATTATTGTATTCTATGGAGCTGAATAAGTAATGTGCAATTTTTATTTTATCATAAATTGACCAATAGTTAATATAGGTAAATGTCTACAATTAGATACCATTGTTCCCGTTAAATTTTACTAGGTACCTACTAATTAAATCCTTTCAATATATACTATAGAACGTATATGTTTACTTCCATCATCTCAAAGACGTCTCAAACGCGGTTGTCCTCGCGATCTTATTAATTAATTATTAATTATTATAGGTATATTTAATTAATTAAATTCCATTTACAAATATTTGTATTATATTATATTCACTCATTTGAACTGTACTTAAATGTCTAATCAACTCTAAATATTATTACTCTTGTTATTATTAAAATTTCTCACGTTGAAATTGTCAAAAATATCGATTCAGTTAAGACGTAGATAGCCTACGTAGGCTATAAATGTCTTATTATAATATTAAAAAAAAAAAGTATGTAATGAAACAATTTTTTTAAAACTTGATTTTAAAATGTTCTTATTTCTTATTCAAATTTATGCTCATGAATTATATTATCTATAATAGAGTTTTAATATATTATATTACTTATATTATTATATAGTTTTGACGAACTCTGTACTTTGGTCGCACGAGTGTTCAATATAAAATAGTTCATACATTATTAATTTGTTGTAATATACTTACATCCTCGATACATGATTTAGCTAATGGAAAACACACGTAAAAAGTAATTCCAATCAATATGTACGTCAGAAGAACTAGAGTGAATGCTATTGATAGATCACGGCCCTAAATGTATTGAAAAAAATTTCACAGTTAGTATTTGATTTTCAAATAATGAATAATAATATAGTTACTTGCATTGTGTTTTTGATTTTCATTATTTCTCATTATTGTAATTATGATATTATGTATGAACATAGACAACGTGAGCATTCCAGATGTTGCAGGAAATGTGTTTTTATAAAATTCAGAATAATCCGTTAATCCTCCTATCGTTGGTGTGGACATATTTATTCCCCAACTATAGGATTTTATTATGACAAATATGAACAGATACAGCACTGCCAGAGTACCTAAAAAATAATTTAAATGTGTTTAAGTGATTCGTACATTTATACAGTGATAGTGATGTAGAGTGTTCTATTGTGATTTGTGATGGTCCCTGTCAATAAATGTATTCTTAGGTAACTATTCTTTTTATTTTTTTTTGATTATTTGTTTACATTATTTCTTACAGAAGTATAAATATGTTAAACTATTTTATACTAAATTACTCTATTAAAGCTGTGTTCAAAATTTGGAAATATGTAATTATAGGTATGTGTGTATTAATTAATAATAAGATTTTTATATTTTCCAGAAAAATTGTGCCAAGAAATTAAATAAATTTAAAAATTTTCAGTGACGCGTAAATTAAAACACACGTTTATATTTTCAAGTTGAAATACTTACAAGAACTAAAAAAATAATCGTGTTCATCCATAATATTATTCGGTAGTTATTTTCCAAATCAAATTAAAAGAAAACAAGTCATAAAAAAATATATAAAAAACAATTAGATAAATTTAAATCATCGACTTCTGGGACAAATATTACTGACTGATACGTGGAAACACCACGCGTGGAGTGGGATGTCCATTAATTTACCCAAAGAATTAAACTTCGTGAAAAACGTAGCTGATCTGAAGTTCAATAGCGGTGCAACGATTACGACAAGAAATATCGGTACAGTCGTGTTGAGATCCCAAATTTGTTCGTACAATGTCCACGGCCTGTTTGTGTTGGTTGTAGCATTTATATAGTTCGCATTGCTCGGACATATTGCTGAAATGAAACGATTGTGATTTATACCACTTATGTATAGGAACAATTTGAAAGGGATTCGGGGAGGGGGGGTGATTAGCACCCTCATAATTTATGGTATTTATAGGTCAACTGAAAAATAAGCGACTTCAGCACCCTTATTTTATAATATTATGCCATATTTGGTTTATGATCGTACTATACATAGATAAATAATGAATATCTGCAGTTATTGTTTTGCGTTTATCATTTACCACATTGAATTGCTCTTCTAAATTCCAGACACAGGCCATAGTCATAAATAAGGCTTAGATTTATATACATTTGTATGCTTTTTTGAATAGTCCAAAAAATAGCTAGATAAGCTACAAGTTTGATTTGTAGTCAACAGATCCATATATAAAGTTTTTTTTGCATATTTTGTCATTTTTAGATACCTATATGTACTGTGTATTTCTGTATTTTACGATTTTTTTCATTGCATGCATACGGTTTTTAAATGCAAATATGTAATATTTTGCTTATTTTAATTAAAATAACGTATTTATAGTTATATTTATAGTCCATGTAATTTGACAAAATTATTTTTTTATCTTGTCTGACACCTTTCAGGATGAGTAGTAATCTGTTATTGCGTAGATTTTAGTGAATTATACATTCATCGTGATCCATGTGTGCATAACTTTCATTCGATTTTATTTATTTATACTTAATGAAAATAAAAGACATTTTTTTTTAATAGATTTTTTTGCATATTTTTGTATATTTTTACATATTTAAAGTGCATATTTGAATGATAATCAGTAGATAAATGTATGCATATTTAATACATACCAACTTTATTGCTAAAAATATTGATCATTTGTTTAATAAGTATAAAAAAAAACCTATACTATTATACCGTTTATATCAAGTATAAACTATAAAGTACCTACCTATTTTAAATTTCGATAATATTATAATTTATGTTTAAATTTTAAATTATTAACGCAGTTTTGCTTCCGCTGCTGAATTTTGTTAATACCTACTTGTTCGAAAATATTTAAAAGAGACTTGACTGACAAAATTGATATAAATTGTGTTCAAAAATGGTCTTTTGCTAAACAAAAAAGAATTGAAATTTGAAAAATCAAAGAAATAATTAAAGATTTTATATTTTGTTATTTTGAAATAATAAATTATAAATAATTCATAGCCAAGTTGACAAGTTTCATATTATTTCTTCAATAAATGTTCTTTAATCAATAATCATTATTATAATATTAAGTAGGTACCCAAACTAATATTCAATATGTAATCAAATTTTAAAACTATACCTAATTTTATTTGTTAGTTTTTTTTCTAACTCATATTAAACTATCACTAATATTTTAAGCAGATCTTGATTCAGAAACAATTTTTTCTTAAACATTACTAAATCAAGCATTGTTTTTGATTATTTCTTCGAAGATTTTATGTTTTTTTTTTTAAATTAGTTTAAGTACATACCTTAATATACTTTTTTTATCAATTCATAATTTTTTAAGTTTAATCTCTACATTTTTTTAAAAATGAACTTAAAGCATTAACAAGACTTCAACTAGAACCTAAATCATCATTCAAATTCTTTATACTCATATGCTTTTTATTAAATTTAACATAAAAAAAAAGAAATCGATAGCATTAGTTAGATGAAACAGTCAATTAATATATAATATATATATATATAATTGTTTATAAACCTTAAATCTAATTTGACCTCAAGTTTGTAATTTTTGGTAGACTTTTAAATAATATATTTTAATGTTTTTTTTTTCAGATTTTGATACAAATATTTCTCAAATAGCATACATCTAATGTTTGTCAATTAATCACTCCCTCATCTCTATCCACCCATTACCACAGAGTCGGCAATTTTTTGGACGCCCTCCCCCCAAGGTTTTTATCTTAAAATCGCCTCTGATAATAATGTAGTTGAAATGTTGCATACGGTTTATTCGGAAGCATAAAATGAATTTAAATTTATATTATCCGACTTACGGTTAGTAGTGTTGAAGTCGAATGCCTTGGTGTTTTCGTCCGGAAAGAGCAAATCTGTAGCCGCGTCAAATATATTTATATTATGAGTATAAATTTATTAAACGGTCAAAATAATATTATGATTTTATTTGGAAAACAATACGATTTTGCCTTACCGTGAACATATCCGACCGAATAATATAAAAAATTTGACATCAATATCCAGTACACTATGTTGGCTCCTAGTAAAATTATGAACGAGAATAGTTTCGCTATGACTTCGGCCCAAGGACCCAATAAATTTTTGCTCAGTTGTGCTACTTCGCCGGTATCGTTTCCTTAAACAAACAAATGAATATCACAATATCAGAAAATGTGGTTATCATTGTTCAATCGCTTTTATTTAGATGATATTTGTCACATTTTTTATTTACACGACAATATAAATAGGTATAATACCTATTGTCGATAGGTTAGGTTATTGATTATTTTTTACCAGTTAATTTATGGATTATTAATAATTTAGCTGCAGACCATCAAATAATCATGGTTTTGAAAATTATTTACCGTGAAGTACTTGCACCTTAAGAATACGATTTGATGTGTATAAGCACAGTGCAGCTATAACGAACATTAGGAATAATCCCATCACTAGTCCTGCCCGTTCCACGCTCCAAGGCATTGCTAATAGGGATGTTCCCATTATCGTGTTCCATATTGCGAAACTAAAATCAAAATATTACATTATTTATACAGTATACTACCTATCTATCGAAAAAATATGTTTACAGAGTGATTCTACACTCATCATTGAGATATAATGTCGTCAATGTTTTGATAGTTTTAAAATTAAATACACGAGCTTGTATAGAAAAAAATCAAAAAAAAAATCTAACTATGATTGTTCATATTTTTCGCAACAATTTTAATTTAGGATTTTTATTTCCTTTGGGGTGAGAGGTAGTGGTGATAATTTGTCAAATTTAATTTAATATATATATATATATATATATATTGCCGGTTAAAAACTGTAGTTGCTACCGAAAACTGTAAGATTCAGCCAAATACCTCACGTTTTGTTTGGTCATGTCTATCGGCGAAATCTAATCAAGTGGCGAGTTCTAATTACTAATGGTATGCTGGATAAACATACATAGACTTCTACGATTGTCACTTGTTCTGTAGCTTATACCAAGGCAAAGGTGATCACTAGATCATATACTATACAGTAACGGCAATATATTATTTCTTAGGTTAATCTAAAGCCGGATTTTCTAGTTAATTCTTCTATTCCGTTTAAAGAGTTGAGTATATTAGTCTTGCATTAAATGACGTCTTAGAGACAATGGTGTGTTTTCTACGTATTAAATAACATAAGGAATACGACATGAGTGACATGACAACTAGTTGAGGAAAACCGGCTTTGAGAGCTATACCGTATTATCCTCGTTCATCAGATTATCTACCTATCTAATAACCGCACGTTCACATCGCCGTCCACAAGTGCGCATTATAACGACCTGATGCGATGGCATAATTTATAACGGAAGGTTAGACTTAGTCCGACGAAACGCATCACAAGTTTTCCAGGGATTACGTGTCACTCTGCGTCAATCTCAAAACGCACATCGCGGTCACCCCATATATTATTATATTCACAAGTTCCTCGTAAGTCGTAAGATAAATATTATATCTTATAGTAGTTAATACGCTTTTATAGTTGCTTTTACGACGATAAGTCGAATATTACATTTTTAAATTGTTGACTTCAAATAATGCATATTTGAGTATCGATGCACACGAATTGCGAACCCAAACAGTTAGACGAACCTTTTTGAACGAATTGCGTCTAGGACGTAATTCGTGTTACCTTTTGAGTTAATTAACACTTTTTTTGAGCTTTCCAGTGGTTTTCAAATTTATTTTTAATTTAGATATTTTTAAATTAAAAAAAAAATAATACCTAACTATAATAATAATTAAATATTTATCATTAACATAATATTGTTATATGAAAACTTGTTTTTAGTAGTTTGTACTTTCTGCAGGTCGAAGCTATACACGGCGTATTCGCCGCGTTTCAAACGCTACGTATTTTCAAACGCTACGCGTTTATTAAAAATAAAACAATGCATTTTTAGTTCGACGGACTACGCGGCGGAATACGTCATGTATAGCTCCGGCTTTATAGATATTTTCGATTAAAATATTACTATACGGACTTCCCAATTGATAAGTAACTATGGATTACTACAATATTACAAGATTATAGTAGTATAGACATCATAATTCATAATAAATAATTTTCACATTACCACATTACTGCAGTGATTAGGTGAATTTAGGTATGAAAAATAAAATTAGTAACACCAGAATTTAATACTTACATTATTTCGGAGTGGTCTGCGATCATATGCGCTGTTTAATATTAAATTAAATTTAAATTTAAATTGATAATATCATTAATTAAAATTATTTATTGGCTATCTTGTCGTATACGCTCTACTGTTTGATTGCACTCTACCGTTTTTACCATTCTAATTGTAATATAGTAATTATTTGTATTACACCATATATACATACGCAGGTGATAGGTACAAGCATTAATTTTATATACATATAAGTTGAACTATAGGAATATTTGGAAACCGTATTTTTAGATTTATTTTATTCCGACAAACATCGCAGTTTAGATAATTTTGAAGATAATAATATTACCTGGGCCGGCACGGATTACGATTACAATTTATAGATTATATATAGATACATTTATCGCATAATATATTTTCTACATTTACTAAAAGATTTTTAGAAATTAAAAAATTAGTAGCTGATTCTTCGTTTTGAATTATGATATAAAATTATTTTGAAAGCATATTGAAAAGTGAAAAAAAAACCGTGTAAACCCAAGAACTGTCGGCCAATGACTAAATACACGATCAAAAATTATATCATGCAGTAAAAGAGAGTGATAATCTTTATTAGCATTAAGTCACGATATTAAAGATCAATTGGGTAGTAGAGCGCTTACGACAAGCGTGCCTATTTATTTAAATGGAAAATGAATTTAGTATGTCAACAGTGTTAAGTGAAAAAGGCGAAGTATTAAAAGTTGTTAATGATTTTAAATTTGATTGTCACAAGAAATATTCAAATAGAGATATTAGATAGTGTACAAATAAAAACTGCAGAGCTTTTTTACGAATAGATGCTCAAGATAAAATAAAGGTTAGTTAATTTAATTCACAATCATAGCAAAATACTAATAAACAAATACTAAGTTACTTTGAAGAATTTAAAGTAATTAATCACGAAATAACCAAAATAGGTAAATCCTACATTTACTCCAAAAATAATTTATGTGGATTTTGAAAAGGCATAATGCCGTTAATAGAATACCTATGGCCAAAAAGTTTAATAAGAGGTTGTCGATTTCATCTCGGCCAATCATGGTGGAGAAAAATACAAGAACTAGACTTGGCTTCAGACTATATTCTAAATAATGAAATAGACAAGTACTTAGCATTGACATTTGGATTATCTTTCCTAGAACCACACGAAGTTGAAGATTTTTTTTTTCGTTTAAAATGTCTGCTATTCAATCAGACGAACACAAAACTATAGAATTTTCTAATTATTTAGTAGATACATACATAAGTGAAAATTAAATATTTCTTCCAAAGTTGTGGGCAGAAAAAAGTTCCAACACAAAGAATAACGAATGCATGCGGATATTTTCATTCTAAATTTAAAAAATGTTTTGATTCTTTTCACCCAAATATATATAAACTTATAAAAGTTTTAAAAAATATTCAAATTAATACTACAATATTAATAAGTAGTCTAGAAAAATAACGAGTAGGTACCTAGAAAATCAATAAGACAAAGAATACTATTTATAGAAAATGAATTAAACAATTAAACAATAATGAGATTACAATTAAAGACTATGTTAATACATTAGCCAATAAATATAAATACAGAAAATGGTATTATAATACTTTTACAATTATTCGATTTTAATTTATTTTTATAAATAAGTATGTTATTATGATTTTTTTTTTTATTTATTTCACAAACGCACATACACAATTTATACAATTTTGTACAATAAGCATATAGGATAAGGATTATATAACATGGATTTTTTTGAATAAGAAGCCACCCATTAGTGACATTTAGCTATTATGATTTAAAATTTATATTATTATAATATTATATTTTTACAATTCAATTTTAATTTTTTTTATTTAACTTGGTATATCTTTATTATGACAATATAGAAACCACTTACAATAATTAACTGTAGATGAAAAGGGTACACGAATTGCGTCCGGGACGCAGTTCGTTCAAAAAGGTTCGTCTATCTGTTTTAGTACGCAGTTTCGTGGTTATGTGTATCCCTTGAATATAGTGTTATAACTTATAACTAATAAGTATACGTAATTTATAGTATTAGGGTATCAATATTTGGGGGGAAGGGGTCAGAAAGGGAGGCATTTACGGCAATCTGATTTTAAAGGCAGCCCTATGATCCGGTGTCCGGTTGTTTCTGTTTAACTATTATTGGTGAAAAAAACATAACATGCCTATTTTTTTAATATTTCTTCTAAATATTATATTATGTAGGTACTGGGAATGATAAATTATTGTCACATCACAATGATAAATTGATTATTAATAAATAATAATTATTAGTTGGAATAATAGAATAAAAAGAACATCATTTTTATTGTCTGTACAACACTAATAATAATAATAATATGAATTATATTTAGAAATATTAGTAATCACAGTAATCATTTATCATAATCTCATAAAGTTAAATCACAGAATTGATTAAATTAAACCTATTTTGTGCAGTATAGATGTACTAATGTACATATTTTCAAAAATTAAAAGAAGATGTTAACTTAAAACACATGTTTGTTATTTGAAAAGGATTTTGGTGCAAAATATTATAAAACATGCAATAAGACAAAAGTAATTTGTTAAAAATGTAAGTAGAAACTGGGTTACGAGTGTAGTGAGAAGTTTATTTTTAAGTTGCTTTTTTAGGACGATCAAAACTTTTGTTCCCCTCTATTAAAAATTAAAACGATGATAACAGTACTTAGTACTCATCATGACTATTCGATTATCCGTGAATTTCTACATATGTTAAAATTCTTTCCTCAATACGTATTATATTTTTAGCAGTTAAACAGTTTATTAATTTCTTTTTTAAAGTTCCTTCTCTTACTTTATCCACTATCAACTTCCATTCTCCAATATCCGAAATAACAATATTTCGTACAATTTTTACTACCCTCTTCACGATTTTACCGTATACTTAGAATTAACATATTTTCGTATTTTTATATTGTGTATCTTTTTTTTTTTTATTATTAGCTACTAGTATAAAGTATGCTAGCGTAACAATAAAATAATGTAATTGTAATTTTTTTTACAGCTCTTAACTTAAATGTATTATATTTATTATTTGATAAGAAACAGTTATTTTACGGGTGAATATCCAATGTCGTAAAAATTTGAACTTCAAATGCTCATAAAAATTGAATTGACTTTCCAGTAATTTTTTTTATATACAGTAGAACCCTTCTAATCCGTCACTTACAGGACTGGGGGTGTGGTTAGAACGCGAAATAGGTCGGACTATTAGAATATACAGAAACATTTGAAGAAAAAATGTTTTCAAATTTATTTTTTAAATTATTTTAAATTACGCAAATATATTAAATTATTTACTACATGATATATATAATACAAACAATTTGAAAGATTAATTGAATTTGATTAATTACTTTTAAAAAATTCAGTAATGGATTTTTGTGTGAAATTCTAGATTTAGTAAGCTGGCAATTAATTTTATAAATATATCTAACTATATACTATAAATTGGAAAATCTAAATGCACATATTTTTAAAAAATTCATATCAATATACTATGGTCGGATCAACCGGAGTAGTGGACTATCCGCGGGCGGACGATAAGGGTTCTAATGTATATAAACTTTCATAAAAACAAAAGCTTATGAATTTCCTACGAAAAAATAATTTGTTAATTTTCGCAATTTTTTTTTAATTTTACCAAGATTTTACTTTAAACACTTATAAAAAAATATTATGACTATAGATTACACTAGTGGCTCTCAAACTGTGCTCTACAGAGTCCTCGGGCTTCGTGAGAGTAGGTATAGTCAATAGGAGCTCCATGACTCCATGGCAACATCTGTATTAATTAAATTCAAATTATCATTATATATATATATATTGATTGGTTGATGGTATTATTGAAGAATTTTATTAAATATATGAAGAAATTAAACAAAATTCAAATGAAATACTATCGTCATTGACCACTGGATTCATTTATAAAAATGTATTTGATAAATTATCATTAACAAATTTCTGGCGTCATAGTAGTATCTATTACTAACGAAATAACAAATATCAATCTTTGACTAAAAAACTATACTAACACTTATTCTCTTTTCAATAACATATCTGTGCGAAACAGGATTTTAATTTTATTCATAAATGAAAACAAAATATCACAATTAATTAATTAATGCTTAAGCGCATCCAATTCTAGTCTATCAAGCCAAGTATTAAAATACTGATCAATGAAAAAAGCCAACATCATAGATCGCATTAAAATTATTAAATATTAAAATTTATAAATTACTAAAACAAAATATTCTTTTTCTCCTATTAAATTAATTCAATGTTTTGTATACAAGTACATATGCAGTACTTGTATTTTAAAGAAAAAAAAATTAAAGAACAAAAATTTACGATTAACATAATTTTATATGAATTATTTTTGTCTTAAATAAATATTCCTGATTTTTGGGGCTCCATACACTTTTTAAGAACATAAGGGTTCCGCGATTCGAAAAATTTGAAAACCGCTGGATCACACAATTCCTAATGACTATAAGTAGCCCAAAATTGTCGAGAAGTTTTTTTAAGATATTATCGTAAATAAAAAATGGTAATATACACGTTTGGTGAAAATTTTAAATATCTATGGTTAATTGTTTTTAAGTTATATCTACATGTGTTGTTCGTGTCTTTCAAACATACTACACGAAAAATTTATTTTCAATAGAACCGATTTTGCGTTAACTTAAATATTACAGAAAATTGTCTTATTATCAGATTAATAAGTAAAAAAATGATCTGTTATCTCCTGTCAGTTGTTTATGATATTTTAATTTTTAAGCAAGTTATGAGCTTTTTTATATTTCAGTATTATACATACTTATTATTTGTTTAAAAACTAAAATACCGTACAAAACTGACGAGTGATAACAGATAATGTTATTACCTATTTAAGTTCGAATTGTTTAATAATAATTCGATTCGCTCAAATGTTCAGGTTAACAACACATAATCGTTTCTACAGAAAGCAAATGACGTACTATACTATACGTTTTTCAAGATGGCTACAACACTTTCGGGTGTAACATCCTTTAAATCTAGCTCTATACTTCTACAACACTTTTTTGCTAGTCTCGCGGTAAATATATGCCTTTGACCTTGGGTGTAGGTTATAATGATATTCATGACAATTACCTTTTATGATTCAATTTTAATGACCAACTCAGTCCATAATATAATACTGTATTTTTATTTTTTAAATTCGAGTGTTCTCTATATAAGTACTGCTCATTAATTCATTAAGCTATTACCTAAATTATATATATACATATATATATATATAATATATATTTAAACCCTGTAACCGCTAATATTTTGCGGGTTGTTGAACCTCACGTTTGCAGACCCGGCGTACACGAGGGGCAACGACCCCAGACTCTCCAGGGTTAGTTTGGCAGATCAATAAACCCCATTTCGCCACCGCCACTGTCTACGTTAGTCTCGGGGAACCGCGCGCATTCCGTCGCCGACGTCGCACCGCAGCTTTACTTCCATTCATCGAGAGCCGGCCGGCCGGCCGGTCGGCGGTCACTATTATATAGGTATATTAACATACATACAATATACTAGACATGCTTGTTTACAAATTCCATCACTCTTCGATCACGGTAAAAAATATATAGATTATCTCGATCAGTGTCTACATTTTTAACGATGTCTATCTCTATCTCGTCAGCCCTCCATCTCTAAAATATATACAACATAATCGTTCGTTTGAACACAACCTCGGCGGGGATGACACTGCAACAGCAGACGTCAGATTGCATCGAATAGTAAGGTAATGCACACGCGCATAAATATTAACTGATGTAGAGTAGTCAGTAGACGTGTGTATAATTTAATTAGTATATAATAATTTAATATATTAACCATGAAACACACGTAATATATTATATGTGTGTATATGAATAGTGAACGCGTGGAAAATCGTATATGATTTTTAAACCCCTTGGATTAAATTCTAAATGTTGTTTTTGACCTAACTTTACACGCATGATTTGAACACGCAACTCACGTAACACTCGAATGTACTACTATGTCTTAAATGTAGACTCAATATAAGCATTATATTATATGTGTTGGTAAATTTAATAGACGACACTGCATGTCACCACGTGCAGCAAGTTGCAATGACGGATGTCCGTAAATATTGTAATATATATTATATGTATATAATAATTATAATATAATGGTAAAACGTTAAGTATTTTTAAAAATATTTATTATACGTTATAAAACGTAAAATACGTTTAAAACATTGGTTTCATTATTAATATTTTATGAAATATGACGAACAATCGAAAAGATAATTTAAAAATTCCATTAGATCTTTTTAATTCTACAAAATGTGTGTCGTATAGAATATGTTAAAAATATTTGAACTGTCATTTGTTGCTTTACATAAAACATAATTAATTAAATAAAATTCTAATGATTAATACTTAATAAACATGTATGATAATAAAATCTAATATTAAAAATAAATACTTACATGGTAATTAAACTATTTTGGGTGTATGGCTCATTGGTAATCTGTAAAATATTAAAAACATTTTTGTTAATTTAATAAGTGGCACAATGTGATATTTTAAAAACTAATAACTACTACGATTGTAAAAATATTCATTAAAATAAAATTTTTAATCTATTTAGTTTAAAATTATAAAATTATAATATACTCATTGGCCAAATAGTATTATTGATTTAAAAAAAAAAAAGTTATACATATAATTATATCTATATAATATGTGTAAATAACTTAAATCCTTATCATTTAAATATATTATGTTATTTTTAATTCTAATCAGAGCAATGACTGTATACTAACTTATGGGTTATTTAACAATGATGTATGTTATATTTTTTATTTTTATGTTTGTATCCGTCATTACATTTTGAAACAGTGAAAATGTTTCAATCTTCAGCTTTAAAATGGGGTTTTAGTATGGAATTGGTTTAAATTTGTAATATTGAGAAATAGGAGAGTTAAAATTTAAAAAAATATACTTTTGGATATTACGGAAAATGGAAATATTTACGCAATTGTAACTTAAAAACAAATTACTTTAGGTACTTAAAATGTTTACTGAATATTAGAATTTTTTATACTATTTGTATCTTGGATTTTTTTTAAATATATAAAAATTTGAAATCTTTAAATTTTTCGATTTCTACTAATATATTTTTTTACCGTGTGAAAAAGCCTGAATATTTAACACAAGATTTCATATAAATAAATTATTCATAGAGCAATTACTAAGAAATTTCTTAAAATACATCTACATGGTTTTTTTTCTTATATATAGGCATTAGAGTATTAAATTTTGACAAGATTGGATATTTAAATGAAAAATCGCTGTAACTGTAAAAATATTTATCGTAGAGAATTAGGAACTCTTTTCTATTACTTTTATGTATTTTTCTATTGTTTTTTATAAATAATAAAATTTTCAAAATATTTAGGATAATTTAAAATTATTTTTATCATGAATCTATTATTTTACATCTTTCTACGTGATATTGTCTAAAAATATATAAATGAGTATTCACAATCTGTACTTTAATGTTTCGACAGCAAATAAATTGTATAAACTTCAATAAACAATTAAAATTCAGGAGGGAGTTCCACACTTTGAGAGGTTTATAATAATTTATTTAATTGAGGTTAGGATTTAAATGGTACGGACATCTATTTTTAATTGAGGATTTTTGGAATGTATTCACTAGCAAAGGTGGAAACTAAACAGATATGAAACTGATTCGAATATTAATTCTTTGCGTAATTTGAGACGTATTTTTGTACAGATTTTATTTATCAAAAGAAGAATGTTTGAAATAACTAAATTTTTCGTATTTGGTAAGGCTAAGCACATCTTCATATTCAAATACCGTAAACTCAGACTTTTACATTAATTTATATTAATAACTTGTTGTTAATTGACAGTTTTGATTTAGGAATTGATCGTATTAGATGTATTCTGGTGTTTAGCTTTAGCACCTTTTTTTGTTTTTAAATACGAACCCTAGGATAAAATAATAAATAATTATTACATAATATATGCAATATTTTTAGTAAAATTTAGATCAACATAACATATTATTAATAACGATAAAAATATAAAGTAAAAATAATGATCTAGTTGGTACATTGCAGGAAGGGTCAAAAGTAAAACATTCCCAGTATTTTTTTTTATTATCAGGAAAAACAAAAAAATCAAGGAGAAACGGAATTCTTACGCAAATTCACTGACAAAATTAATTATTTAAACGATAAATATCGATGTTTCCTCTTTTAATAGCTTTTATAATCAACAAAAATATCGATGTTGATTTTTATTTTTTTGTTACAATTTATAAACATTATTTGTAGGAAGTAAAAACTTTTTTGTGTAATAAATTATTATGAATTTTACCGTACGCAATGATATTTTTGATTTATTTTAAGATATTATCTATTTATACTATGAATATATTGTTACTGTATTATGATATTTACAGAAAAAGTTATGATAAATTTCAAATCATATAAGTTGATATAATAGGTTTTAAGTATATATTACTAAAATAATTACCTAGATATACTGATGGACGTTTTCGCTCAGATTCGTTTTTAGGCCTATTCAAAACTCAAAAAAGTTTGAATATTTTTAAATTTTATCTTAAATATAAAATTGCAATACTAAAATTTGGTATAAATTTCAAGTTTCTTACGTTTTTGAATTATAACAAAATAAAGAAATTAATTTAGTAAAAACTGGTTTAGCGTGAATATTCGTGATTTTCCTTAATTTGTTTTTTGTTTTTCTCAATTATAAAAATAGTACAAGAAAAATTTTGATTTTTACCTTTTTGAATTATCAACTTGATTCAATTTTCTATCAGAAACCAACCCCATTTTGAAAATCGAAGTATTTTATCGACTACGTATTGTGTACTCAAACACAATTAAAAAAAAAATCATTGTAAAATCGATGTATTTATCATTCCACTCAAAATTTAAAATAAATCTATGTATTAATGTATTATGCATAGTGTATAAATATATAATATCTTAAACTAAATCAAAAATATAACTGTGTTTAGTAAAATTTATAATAATATAAATTACGTTAATGTTTAAGTTCTCATAAATAAAGTTTTTGATTTTTAAACAAATAATTAATATAGTTATTTATCATTAAAACCCGTAATTTAGATTCAGATTAGGTGATACTGCTAATATTTTGTGTCTTTAAGACTTTAAGTATTTTATATGTTATCATTCATCAAACTTCTTTATTATATTGTTATACTTTGTTTTATTTTATATTTTATAAATATTTTTATTTTTTTTTTAAGAAATGAATAAATAAAAAAAAGATATTTATAAATTCATAAAATGTTATGCCTTACAATTAATATTAAATATTATTATTAGTAAATTAATGCTTACAGCATAACTTTATAAAAAATATTTTCTTTTCTTTAAGAATATAAAAATTAAACCATAGCAAGTGGCTATTGAAATTATAAAATTATAATATAATCTGTTATATAAGAATAAAGGTTTTGAATTAAAAAACATAAAATAAAATGTATAAATATTTTCTCTTTCAATCGATTCGAGATCAAAAATCACCACAAAAAATGAAACACGATATTATTTTCAAGGATATATATCATATTTCTGTTTATAATACTCGATAATACCTACCTCATATTATCATATTATGATATAAAATACTATATATATATGGAGATTGATTATAGTATAAATATTAGGTAGGCACTATACTAATACTAACATTTTAGTTATTATAGCGAATGAACATCATCGATTTATAAAAGTAAAACGTAACAAATTTTTTGCACACATAGGTAGTAAATATAAATTACATCATATATTTGTTTTAAATTTAGTTGTTGTGATAAAAAATAGAATGCCTTGACTCTACTAAAAATGGCTTTAAATGTATTATTTTATTTAAATATATTTTATTCGTAAATTTTAATTTACCTACATAAAACGCATGTATAACAAACATTAACAATCAGTTTATTTATAACTAGGTACCTAGTACCTACGAATATAGGTACCGTTATAATTTACAAATTATAAATGCCAACCAAAATAAATACGAAATATAAAATGTTAGATTAAAGTAATTATTATAAAAACCATTAAAAATATTAGTAATTAATTAATTTTAACGATAGTATTATTTAATTCTCCTTACTGTTATTATTATTTTTTTTTTTATGTACTTAATTTCTTAACTTAAATATACTTTTATTAATTATTAATTTTCAGATTATACAAAATTGTATACCTACTTGAAAATGAAAAATTTAAACTTACTGTATCTCCTAATGGAATGTAAGGTTGTAATTTTCGATAAAATTTTGGCCTGTTTATTATATCATAGTCCAAACTAAATGACCTGAAAATTAATTACATTCATGTTACAAGTTTAACAAATGACTACTATATTTACTTAGAACATGTATTTAACAATGTATCTGAATGTCGAGCATACCTCAAGTAATACGGATAAAGTAATTCATTGGCCTTTGATGGAGTAGCTGATGTTTTATTATTCTCTAAATCGCTGTTTTCCGAATCATATTTGAATATAAATCCATTATCTCTGAAAAAAAAATAGAGCTGTCATATAGATTATTGGTATACTTATACTATAGTACATAATAAAAATGATGAACTTACGCTATACTTGTTCTGCTTAAATCTGAATTTAATAATGGTTGATTTTCACAATCTGTAATCATAGACTTAGCTCTGGGTCTGCTAGACCTTTTAAACGATTTTTTAGAAACTCGACCCATTGCTTTTAAATGTTCATAATAAAAACAAATAGGATGGATGTTTTAACAATAAAATTAAATTTATTTACTCCACATGGTTTCATATCTAACGCACTTGTAAGACTCACTCGGAGCTATGTCTTTTATTTTTCCATTTATTTTATTGCTACTGTACATGTTGTTTGAATCTTATCAACATCAACAATGATCCTTGAACCTTATTCACCTTGTTCTCGTAGCCTACTTTATGGAAACACATGCATCTATGTTATTATACTATAGTAGACCGTTTATAATTTTCGGGCAAAAGATGTATATCGTTTAAATAAATCAGTTTGGTCAAAGGCGCAAAAAAGAAGGCGTGGCTTAAAAACAGAAGATAATAACAATGCTTATGCAAAAAATGAGATTGAAAACAAGGCCAAATTCAATTTAATAATTAAAGTCAGTAGTCAGCACCAAATACCAATTTACATACATATTTAATATAATGTATAGTTTCTTTATACATTAAACATTTGTATGATAAACATGTAATTGCTAATTATTTTTAAGGTACGTATAAGTGTGTATTTGCTAATGTATTTTATGCAATCTTAGATATTATTGTTAAATGATTTTCATGGCCAATCAGTCAATTCGATATTTATAGATGCTGAATAACATGTTATCAACATATCCCGTTAATATTTAGGTGCATATTTTAACGTAATATATATTAGCCAATATCAATAGCTCATATAACCTAATTAGTCAAATCGTATAGTACCTATGTTTGGTGTAAAATAAAGTCATCGCATAAACTATACAAGCATGTAGCTAAAAACAATAAGCAGATAAATAAATAACATATAACTTTAATATTATTTAAAGAATAGGTTCACTTGACACTTGTTATACTTTTTGTTAGTCAATTAAAACATTAAAAAAATAGTAATTATTTAGGTACTTACATCCAGCAGCTTAGATTCTATGTTATATACAATATGCATACACAGTTATTAAAGTAATAATACTATAATAATATATACTGTTGTATATTAAATTTAAATTGTTGAAAGATACAACAGCCATAGTGCACCATAGTTCTATATAGTATTTAAAAACGCGTGTGATACAAGGTGTTTGTATACAAATACTGTGGTTTGAAACTAGTTTGACAATCTATTAGAGTGAAGTAACGTCCGGCATATATCATATATGCGACATGGTGTGGATGGAAAACAAATCTCAAATGACCTTTAATAAACATTCTTATTTTTATAGTTTATTTAAGTGATGATGGCGGGAGTTGTTATTGTCTGTAGCGTATATTTGTCTAGCCCAGATTAATGATAAAGTAAACTTCATAAATGAACAGTGGTGATCTAAGGTTTTGTACGGGGGGGGGGGGAAAACCTTATAAATTCATTCAAAATTGTGAAATTTATAGTGATTTTAAAATACTCTTCAATCTTTGAAGTTGTTAAATTTTAATGTCGAATGGTGACAAATGATAGCTTTTCGTTTACATATTCATGGAATTTTAACATTAATATCGGTTATAAAATAATATTAGTTAATTTCGCATTTTTCTGTTATTTTTAAGAACAGCTTGTTTAATCTTTATCAGTTTAATGTTTAATACATTCAATTAAATTTTAAATTTTAGCACTCTTAAGTGTTACGTCACAACTACTAAAAATTGGTTAAGTTTAATTAATTTATACATTAAGCCGATGGGTAATAGAAGGTTAAAGCTTCTGAACCCCTTAAATCCACTACTGTTAATGAGACTATATGATTTAATCTAAAAAGTGTATCATACAAAAAACTTAAGTAGGGATATTTTGAATATGATAATATGTATATATTACCTATATCATATTTATTACAATAATATGTAATATCGATGAACGGTCTAACAGTCATGCTAATTTAGAATTTACAAAATATTTTGAATTTATATTCGATAATTACTATTTAATAATTACCTATGTTAACTACATACTATTTTTGTATAATTATTAATTATAGTTTGCAATTTTTCCTTATAAATAAATCCATTTTATTGTATTAGCTCTTTAGCTATATTTACGGTAAACGTTATCAATTAAAATAAAATTGCTAATTTAATTTTAAAAAGTATTAAGTATAATTAATAATAAGTGTTTATAAAACTATTACATAAGTAGGTAATTGGGAAAGTATTTTTATATAAATTACTTACCAATAGGTATACTATACATGCATTAAATGGACTTTGCGCTTAGCTCATAACAAATAATGGTTATAGGTTAAATATGATAAAACAAAATAAATTTTATATTAATTGTATTGAAGATAGATTTAATATTTTTTTATTTAGCATACTTGATAAATTTAATATTTTAATTGTTATAATCACTCAGAAATCAGAATATGGGTGGATTTAATTTATCCGTAAATGTAATTTGATTATCCGTACGAATGAACAATATTATAATATCCAGGCGTGTGGTAGTGTGGGTCATTACTCATTAACTACTTGTATAGAATGACGGTCTGTTAATGTTTTATATGTTATGTGTACCTATACTATATTGTATAGAATCCAAATCAGTATATTGTTATAATATTATGTAATTCGGAAATTTTGGAGTATAAAACTAAAATAAATATATAGATAATTGGTAATTGGAAGATACAACTTATTGATAAGACGATCCGTGTTTATATATTATTGAAAAAACGGACTTAAAGGTTGTTATTAAATAATAGTATAGAATTATTTTATAATAATATTTACCAGGTGGATGTAAACAGTATTGACCTAAGCTTGCCACCAGACTATTCATTAGTCAAGCTCTTATTCCATTTATACAATTTCTTTTAAAACCATATTATTCATTTAATTTATTATATTGCATCGCTTCGTATTGCGTTTTTATGATTAACTATTTTTTGTACATTTTGGTCATTTTGCTTTGTCTGGTTATTATCCTTTACGCTATTTCAATTTATAAATTAAATTTACTTATAAGCATGCAAATGTTATATATACACAAAATTAATGAATTTCATACTCGTGTTATATAAATGATATGCTCAATGCTGGTATATATTTTGAGTAAATTTCAACGAGTCTTCTTTAGATTGTATATTTTAGATTATTTATGCATCGAAAAGAATAAATTTATAGGTATATTGCGAGGTTTATATTAGTTTTGCAATGATGAAGTTTTTTTAAAAACATTTTATGGAACACTTTCCGGTAGTAAAAGAACTCCAACAGAATTTTTAGCATATTTATGAATTCTGAATAAAAAAACTTAAATAAATGATATGGATAAGACGATACTGATTGATGGTTGAGTCGACGATAGCGATCATATATATATTCATATCATAATTTTATCCATATAATATGCTAGATTTCTAATATCCTTGAACTTGAGAAAAAAATTTCAACAAAATTTTTGTGATAATCTTAGGTTGCTAGCAATTAGTAATAATACAGAATATAGTTTAACTTTTTTAACCTGAACTCTACTTAATATTTTTTACTAGTAAATTTAAAAATTGAAAAATGATTATAATTACTACATTTTAAGAGACTTTGAATAGTTTGATTTCGGTATTGGCTTAAAAATTAATAACAATAATATTTTAATAACTATTATACACGTATACGATGTTTTTTGAAAAATTGTATTCAAAATACCGTGTTACTAATTGAAAAATGTGTTAGGTACTTGCTGCGTCTCTATATTTAAATTTGTTTTTCAAATAATCGTTTGCTATGATTTATCAATGGATTTAAATTTAAAACATTCATTTCAATGACCTGTTCAATGTCGAAGTAGATAGTAACGGAACCTATCAACTATTATACAACATACCTACACCAGTCACCAATAACTTCACTGGTTTTATCTTTTTAATTTGATGTAAGTTAAGTTGCTGGTCTTATAACATAAAGGTATCATATTAAATAAATTTAAAATAATTCAGTAGTTATTGAGAAATAGCACAATACTAAAATAACATGTTTTATAAATTATAATTTATTGAATATTCTATACAAATTATTAATCCTGGTTTAATCGATGACTGGTAACGAATTTTAAAATTTTGTATAAACAAATTTTCCAATTATTTTACACGAATATAATTTGTTTTAACAATATTGTAGGCACTATAAATCAAATCTTTAATGACGACGCACACTAAAATTATAAAATTTATATTAAATAAATTTACGATAAGACTTAACAAAAAAGACGAACAAGTGAATATCACTCTGTCGTATAGTAAGTGTCGACTGGGTCACTAAAAAAATTCGTTTTGGTTACAGCCCATTTAGTACTTTTTTTTTACCGCTTATTTATATAAAATTTACCTAAGTTGTACAGTGATTTTAAAAATAATAATAAATAATAACCAATCAAATATATTTTATTTTTGAAATGTTAATAGTTATAATACAAATTTAACTATAACCACCTATAACTATGAACCCTTTCACACTCATTTTAATGAACATTTTTATAAATAACATCCAAATAGTTTTAGATTTTTAGACATTTTTATTAAATGAGTTCAAACAATTGTTTATATTGAAATCAATAGTAAATGGTGACCATACGTCCCGCTTTAAACGGGATTGTCCCTTTTTTTATCATTAAGTCTCATAGTCCCGACAATCTCCGAACGGGACGCTTTTTATCTTGTTTTTAAAGATAATATCATTTTAATCCTGTTATTTCCATATTTTATTAAATATTATTAATAAAAAAATATAAAAAAATTTAAAAAGAGCAATATATTATAATAATTATTTATTAATTATTTCTTTATTATTTTAATAAATTGTAACTTAAATATGATTGGAAAAAATAAAAAATTATCATATTAATAAAAACATTTTATCCCGTTTTTATTTTTTTTAAATGGTCACCTTAAGCTAGTACCCCCCCTCCCCAATCTTCTAAAAAATTCACAAATTAAAATCAGATTAATAGAACTAACTAAATTATACAAACAAAAATTAAATATGTAAATATGGGAAATAAATATTGGAAGCTAATAAAAAAATATACGTGTATAATGTATAATATAATATATGTAAAAAAAAATGGATTTCATTATGATAAAAATTAAGTTGTTTTGTGTAGGTAATTAATAATTATTGTTTGAAATAAAAAAGTTGACTATTTTTTTTTTTAATCTTTATTTATTATAATTTTTAAAATAATGTGTACCTATTATTAAATATTATTACGAGAAACATTGTATCTAATTATTAAAATTATAAAATTGAAGATAATTTTTTTACCTAAAAATAGTTTGTGAATATTCATAATTTTTATAATTTTTTACAAATTATAACTTCAAATGTATATAAATATAAATTAGGTTTCTGTATTTTTTGCTATTTTTATACAGCTATAATAACAATATATGTGAGATCTTATATTGTATTTTCATGTTTTTTGACCCAGTGAACATTTTTTATCAAAAATAATTTAAAAAAATGTCGAATATTCTTAATGCCTATAGATAAATAGTTAAAAAAGTTAATATTTTGGATATAATTTTTAATTTTATCATGTGCATAAATTGTTAATTTAAACATTTAGTGATTATTCATTTTTGAGTTAGACCAAAAAAAAATAAAATTGATTTTGTCAAAATCTGGATTGCATAAAAATTTCTGTTTTATTCAAGTTATTTTAGTTTGTTTTTTCTCGATTTTTTTTTAATTTTTACCTGTCAAAAGTACATGTTAGATACAATTTACTATCAGAAACCAACCCCAAGTTAAAAATCGAAATATTTTTTCAATTATTTGTCTTGTATACTACCAAAATAAACAAAAAACATACACATTGTTATAAAATCAATATATTTGTTGTTCAGCTCAAAATCTAAACATAAAATATTATGTCATATTATAATTTAAATGATTATATTATTTTAATTTTCGGATTATGTCTTGCAAACAAATTTTCGACTTCATGTTAACAGTATATAACTGCTGTAGAGCTTGATTTTATTGTAAGGAGAACATTTATTTTTTTGAAAAGTTTTACCATTTTAGAAATATTGTTTTTTAAATAATTTTATACGTATTACATAAAAAATTTATTTTTCACTTTTTTATAGTTATCTATAGTTATTTCGTGTTCTTTAGGTACTTTTTGAATGACAGTATACTTTTTTAATTTCATATATCTTAGTAGAATATTTTTT